GGTCTGCGCGACCAAATTCAAAGTTTCTATCTGTAGGGTGAATAATGCTTACAATTCATTTCCCAACACCCTGTGCCCTGTGCTTGGTATCAGGGATGTCTACAGGCTGCGAGTATTCGAAGAACAGGGGCTTGTAATTAGGTATCAAAAGGAAGCAAGATTGTAGCTTTGCTGGTTTTCATCCTGAAGCCGTACACCTAAGCCCTTCAGGGTTCGAATCAGAAAGGAGCGGCGTGCTCAGCAAACTCTGCGGCACCAAGCTGCTCGGAGATTAACGGAAGCTTCCAAAGGGGAGTTGGGTAGGAAGGATCTTAGCATGTTGTTTTTCTGCGGTTCACGTGTTGGGTTTTGTGTTTTGGTCAGCCGGGAATGCCAAAAGTTTGTGACGTGAGATTTGGAAATTCAATAGGGTAGGTTTTGGGGCTGAAATGCCTCATAGTTTTATACGTAGTTGGCTACCCAGGATTTGGGAAGTAGTACTTAATGATCTCTATGCTTGCGAAAGCATCGGATCCAGGGGCACTTGGACCGGAGGGGTACGAAGACTTCTAGGATCGTTGTGAGTCTGCAGTGTTAGACTGCAGACATCATGAAAACTCAACCTGTCAAGATGGGGCTAATGTTGATATGAGTTTTAATTAAACTCATACCTGATTGCCCAGACGAGCGGTGCAGATTGTCGGACATTGCTTTGGTCAAGGCATTGTAAGTACATGTAGAACCTCTCAGAAGGCATGAAATGCGCCACCTCTTCCATGTCCATCTTGCAGCCTCACCAGCACTAGCAGGGCTTTGCATCATATTGCAACAAGGCGCAAACGTTTGACAAAACGTTGGGATTCAAATGCTGCAGAGCTGACCACACGCTGACACATTCTTTGCCTAGCGCGTTGCAGGAACAAAAAGCCAAGGCCTTAAGCCCTAAGCACCTCAGAACACTCGAGGTTGGATCATGGCGTCCTGGTTGTGGGCTATGGAAGCCAGTGGGGCAAAGACTACTGGCTGGTAAAGACACTTGCCCTACCTGAAGGGATTATGCTGGGGGACATAGTCCAGGAAGCACGGTCAGCATTGAGCTTTGCAATTGGACTGCTGGAGGCTGGAGGGTTTACGGGTTTACCACTAGTTTCGCTGACGAGGTCCGTCTTAAATCTCTAAGAAACGCTCTATATGGCCTATCGATTCTGTCATCCCAAAAGTCAGGTACTGTTGACGGTGGACAGGTGGCACAATTCGGGAATTGGGCCGATTCAGGATTTCATTCATGCAGATAGAAAAAGATGCGCTGTAGTCTTGATTCTTCTCATTACCTAGAACTCCAACTTGGTATGGGTACCCGGACCCTTGGCAGAGGCAACTTCTTGCAGAAATCATAACAGTCATTAGTAGTGGCCCCACTGTTACTTTTGGGTTCGGGTTTGCGCAGGCCCTGTGTCCAAAAATGGGTTGCAGAATTTCATGGTAACGGGCTGTGTTTTTTTTTCGCCAGCATCGCTATAATCAGCTTTTATTAGCATTGTGTCCACAACTACCCATTTCCTTGCTTGATCAAACCGGTCTTTTCGGGATATGGATTTCTCTGTAGTTTCTTTGGAGATGTCGATGATTCTGTTGGGTACTTCTCACGCGACGCCTGACCAATGTAGTAGGCAACAAGCACCGATCACTCATACCATTCTTGCCATGACGCTCACTACTACTGCATATTCTCCGTCCTTCTTTCGCTTCAAATCGCGACCGCTCCTAAGCTGCCCACAAGCGTTACCTAACTTGTAAATCCTGCCCGACACCTAGAAAACTTGATGATAACGTACAGTCACGTGTGATGTTTTAAGTCACAACATCATCCTGATGGCCTTAAACCTTGAACTCCAACCCAGTAGTAAGATCTCCAGAAACCGACCTATTTAACTTGGTAAGGCCTTCTGCAGGGCATTCGCATACCACTGAAAACAACAGAAAGCGCTAGCAGTATCATCAGCTCAAGCAATCACAGCAAAACATAAGCAATGATGATGGCACTGGCACACCGGCAGTAGCACCTAGCAGCAGAAGTCATGAGTGTTAGTAGCGATAGCCGTAGTGGCAGTAGCACCAATCGTAGCAATGGTAGCTGCGGTGGCAGGCAGTAGGAGCAGCAGTGGCCATAGCGGTAGCAAGCAGCAGGAGTAGAAGTAGGAGCCGAGCCGGGAGCAGGAGTAGGGCAGGAGGAGTGGGAGTGGAAGTAGGAGGAGTAGGATTCGGAGTCAGGAGGAGTAGTGGACACGGCGGTGGTAGTGGTAGTTGAGGTGGCACTTGATGGACGTCGTCATCGTCGCAGTAGTAAGTAGGTAATAGTAGTGGTGCTGGTAGCGGTAGTGGTAGTAGCAGTAGCAATAGCAGTAGCAGTAGCAGTAGCAGTGGCAGTAGCAGTAGCAGTAGCAGTAGCAGTAACAGTAGCAGCAGCAGCAGTAGCAGTAGCAGTAGCAATAGCAGTAGTAGTTACTACTCCTCCCAAGGCCTTGCAGGCCGCCCTCACAGCTGTGCTACGTTGTAATGAGAGCTAGAGGAGCCAGAGCGGACCTATTTCAGTAATAGGTCGGTCGTCTCCCAGGGCCCAGCCTCCTACAGCCTCTTCTTGTAATCCCGTCCCAAGGCCTCCCAAGACCTGCCAAGGCCTCCCAAGGCCCACCCAGCTGTGCTATACCATAATAAAAAGTAGAGGACCCTCACCCAGCTGTGCTCTACCATAATAAGAAACAGAGGAGCTGTGGTTTTTTGTAAGAGTCAGAACGGACCAATTTCAGTGAAATAGGTCCGTTTTGCCTCCCAGGGCCTCTCCCAGGCCCAGCCTCCTACAGCCTCACCTGCAAAGCCTTGGGAGGCCTTGGGAAGGGGATCACAAGAAGAAGCTGTAGGAGACTGGGCCTTGCAAAAATGCCCGGACTTCNNTTGGGAAGGGGATCACAAGAAGAGGCTGTAGGAGGCTGGGCCCTGGGAGAGGCCCTAGGAGGCTTTGGAAAGGGGGACTTCAAGTAAACAAACGTATTTCATTGAAATAGATCCGTTCTGGCTGCTCCAGCTCTTATGACCTCTAAGTCTGGTAGCACAGCTGGGCAAGTCGCCCACAATCCCACTGGCAAAATCTACCTAGAAATTAAGCAGATTTAACGACCCGACGCGACCCCCGAA